CCTAGACATCACTGACGACGTTGGCCAAGCCGACTCCACCTGTACCTACACTTCGGTGAAAACGGCGGGGTGTCGTTGCTGCGGTGGTGCGGGTGCGATGTCAAGATGCCCCTTAGGTGATTGCCAAACCATGACGTACAGCGAATGCAATGAGCTGTGTTCGGGATCTGGCAGGAGATTGTGCACCCAAGGAGATATTGAGCGGCGTGGCACAAGACACCGGGTGCTGGTACAATAGCACGCATGTGTGGACGTCAACAACATGCAGTTGCTCGGCTGGGCACGGATGCGGTGCCCCAACACCCAACCCGACGCCCAGCCCGACGCCCGGCCCGACGCCCAGCCCGACTCCCAGCCCGACTCCCAGCCCGACGCCCAGCCCAACGCCCAGCCCGTCGCCAAGCCCGACGCCCAGCCCGACGCCCGGCCCGACGCCGACGCCCAGCCCAACGCCCAGCCCGTCGCCAAGCCCGACGCCCAGCCCGACGCCCAGCCCGACGCCCAGCCCGACGCCAGGACCAACGTCTGCCCCAAATCCGCCGTCGCCACCTTCGACGCCAGGGTTGGGCGGACCTGGTGGTGCGTCTGCCACCGGGGACCCTCACTTGCAGAACGTGTTGGGTCAGCGGTTCGACCTGATGAAGTCTGGAAAGCACATTCTGATCAACATTCCGCGGGGAAGTCTTGTCAACGCAATGCTTCGTGTGGAGGCTGAGGCGCGTCAATTGGGCGGGCAATGTGCAGACATGTATTCCGGAGAGCTGAATATCACAGGTGCGTGGGTTACGGCGAAGGGGACCAGCGGTCTGCGTTTCCAAGCTCAGGGTGTGAGCGACAAAAATCCGCATTGGTTACAGTTTGGGGCAGTCCAACTCAAAATCGCCCATGGGCGTACTGACCACGGCGCCCCGTACCTGAACTTCTACGTCAAACACCTTGGGCGCGCTGGGTTTGCCATCGGAGGGCTGCTTGGCGAAGATGATCACACCGAGGCAGCGATGCCTTCGAAGGCATGTGCTCACCGCTTGTCGCTCCTTGAAAAAGTGGTTTCGGGGCATCAGCGCGACGTTGTTCTCTCGTTTGCCGAGGCAAGCTTAGCGTGAGTATGCCGATTTGTCGCTTCGTCTGAGCAGCAATTTGGTTTGTATTTGTGTTCCACTCCTTATGGGGCCGCGCGATTCGGCAGCGCGTGCTGCCCGCGTGAGCCTGCCCTGCAGGCGCCAGCCCAACCCCTCCCTGACTGCGGCCGCAGACGCCCAGAAGAAAAAAAAAAAAAAAAAAAAAATCGCAGCCCCCCAGGGATGGCGAGGCCTAGTTCTGAACAGCGGTGAGTGCCAACTCTGCTGGCCTCCCCGGCAGCCTTCGAGGGTGGCGACAGTTTCACACATCGCAACCCCACAGAGATGGTGAGGTCTAATTTGCTCGACATTTCTCTTTGCTGCATCGGCGATACTGCTCCTCGTATGTTCGCGTCGACATTTTCGCGGATCGCGCTACATCGGGGCGGAGTGGGCGAGACTGATTGGGGGGAACGGACTCGTGGCCGCCCTCTGCAAAGGGCACCTCATCGAGTGACTGCTGAAGAGGAAGCGGGGGGGGATGGGTGAGTGAAACGAGGGCGGACGTGTTGGAGGAGGAGGAGGAGGAGGAGGAGGAGGAAGAGGAGGAAAAGGAGGAGGAGGAGGCGGAGGACGGGGGAGGGAGGAGGTAGGTGCACGAGGAGGAGGAGGAGGAGGAGGAGGAGGGGGAGGAGGAGGAGGAGGAGGAGGAGGAAGAGGAAGAGGAGGGGGAGGAGGGCAATGAGTATGTGTAGGGTGGAGTCTGGGCATGCCCACGCCCGATACCGAACACATTGCAGATATGTATCCAGATACGCGCGCAAGATGCCAGGTCGAACCAGGAACGTTTGTCCAAAGCCGTGCCGAAGGTGCCCCAAACCAGGAGGACATCCGAGCGAAGCACGCCCCCGAATATGCCAGACCATCCGCGGTGTGAGGACGCATCCGGCGAAAATGCGCGCATACGAACACTAACCAAGCAAAGTGCGAGGACGTCTCAAGCGAAACCGGGCCCAAACCAGGCCAAACCATGCAAATTGTGAGGACGTCTCAAGCGAAACCGAGCCCAAACCAGGCCAAACCAGGCAAATTCTTGACGCTTCGCGTATCCCCACCAGCCAATCCAGAAACGATTTCCAGACAAGTTCAAGAGATCAGGGAAGTGGGGGGGCAACGAGAGGGACAGCCGATCCGTGCAAAGGATGAGGCGGAAGAGGAGGCCAGATGGATAGATGAGGGGGTGGCGAGGAACCGAGCAAAGGAGGGATGAGGAGAATGATGACGCTGGGTGGATGGTTGAATGCCGCCCGGATGCCTCTTGGAAGCTTTTTGGAAGCCTCTTCGGGCGTCTTGGGGGTCTCTTGGCGGTCAATGGGGGCTCTTGGGCGTCTTGGGTGCTTCGGGGGGGCCTCTTGAGGCCGCTTGGGATCCTCTTAGGGAGGCTCTTGGGGGCCTGTTGGAGGCCTCTTGGGGCCTCTTGGGGGTCTCTTGGAGCTTCATGGCGGCCTCTTGGAGCCTCTTGGAGGCCTCTTGGAACCATCCTGGGAGCCTCTTGGGGGCTTCTTGGGGCCTCATGGCGGCCTCTTGGGGCCTCTTGGAGGCCTCTGGGAAGCCTCTTGGGGCCTCCTGGGCGCCCTTTGGGGCCATCTTGGAAGCGATCGATCAAAGAAGAGGGTGGAGTTAATTAACCTTCCCCCCCCAAGAGGCCAAAATGGGGCCAAAACCCTAGTAAAACCGATGATGTTGGCTTCCTCGCCGAGGCCGTTTTGGACGCTCCAACTACCAGCGACACCCCCCGTCCAGGTCCAGGGGAGGGGGTTAGGGGGAGGGGTAAACCCCTCCCCGAAGGGGAAGAAGGAGGGGTGGAAGAGGAAATTCCCTAAACCACCTACGCCCAGAGGGCTGGTGGGATTCGAGTCAGAACACACCTCAGGAGAGGTCCAGGGCGTAGCGGTAGCGGTACCTTTGGGTTTCCCCAAGCGCCCAAGGATGTGTGTAGCTTAGTGTCGGAGGCCTAGAGGTTGGCACCAGCACCAGCGTCGGCGGTCGCAACCACCGAGGGAAGATGGTCCTGATCTCGGTGATGATCCCGACGGGGGCGACCCCCTGGGTCGGTGTTGGTGTCAGTTCCCAGGTCCCCAAGGACTTGCGTGTACCCCGTCCGGCTCCGCCGTTAGCACGCCCGATCTCCGCCGAGAATCGGCGGAGATCGGGTGCGCGCAGGCGGACTCAACGCGTCGGCGCTAGCACGCGTGCTGAAGATCATCGATCGGCGCGCCGTCGGCGGCCCTCGGCGGCCTTCGGGGTCGTTCCAGGGCCCAGACATCGGTGCATACCAGCCCGCGACATGGGCGGGAAGGTCATGTCAGACATGGAAGTCACTGCTTGGAGTGGGCTCGCAGAGGCATCGAGGTGGTGCATAACCATCCCCCGTCCTATCTCCGCCTCTGCCACATAAGCCTCTTCGCCCTCCCTCGCTCGTCCTCCTCCTGCTGCTCCCCCTTTCTTCTCCATCCTCCCGCCCGCCCTCCCTTGTTAACCCTCGCTATCCCTCACTCCTCGTCCGCCTTCTCCGCCGCGTTCCACTCCACCCTCCCTCCCCTAGTCATCATGTGATTCCCCGTCTTCCTGCCGGAGATGCAGGGCCCCGCAGGCAGCCCAGAGCTCGACACGGGTTGTCCATGTCTTCGGCGGCGCCAGGGGAGGACGGAGGTGGGAGAGGTGCAGGGCGCACTGCCTACTCGATCGAGGCGGTCACGCGTGAGCCGCACGCGCAGCATCCCCTCCTATCCCCTCCCCCTCCCTCCATCTCCCTCCTTCCCCCCTCCTCCGTCATCACACCCCGCCTACATGCGGGGCTTCGGGAAGGCCCACGCCGTTCAGCCAGGACTGGTAACAGAGCTGGACCACAGATGCGATCGCCACTGGCAACGCAGCGCGGCGAGCCAAAGGATTCAGCAGTGACGCCTCCCCCCCTTCCCCTCCCCTCTCCATGTGCACTAAGATCAAGGCAGTCTGCCCGCCTGCCCCTCCCAGCATGAACCAAACGTGGCTTCGGGCCGCGCTGGAAGGGCGCCCAATCCCGCAATTCAGCAGTTGGGCGATGCCAGCTCTCGCCGCAGGCTCCCACGGCCTTGTACGAAGGCTCCCGCCGCTGAGAGGCCCTCCTATTCCATGGAGCCCTCTCTCTCTCTCTCGGAATCCTCCAGGACAGGTGTTGGCCCCTTCCGAGAAGCCGCTTGCCTTCTCAGATGGCCGCCTGGCTGCCCTCGACCAAAGCCCGCTCAAGGCAGATGCCTTGACCCATCCTAGCTGGGGCCCAGCTGGCTCAGTTAGCATCGTTCAGCCGCGGCGTCGAGCTTTTACAGAAACGTCCAAAAGCATTGAAGGAGAAGACGTAAGACGTCCGCGTCGACCGTGTTGCCGTTGTCGTCAAAACTGGACCCCGCATCTCTCCCAGGATTCAGTTTGACCAGAGTTTATACGGGAAGCTAGCCGCCGGCAACGAGAAGCTTCCAGGAGATTTCACAGGAAGCATAAACGTAAACATAAAAGCACTACAAAACTACGCCGTCGACGTCTGGGCCGACCAGCGGCTTGCGCGCAGCCACCGCGGCCGCTCACGCGCATCAGCTTCAGAGTTCTTCCGCGGTATTGCTCGGGAGGACGAGAGCGAGGAGCACGGGGAGGAGTCTGGAGGAGAACGAAGAGCGAGGTCCTCGTCCCTTATCCGCCTCCCCCTCCTCCTCCTCCTCCTCCTCCTCCTCCTCCTCCGCCTCCTCCTCCTCCTCCTCCTCCTCCTCCTCCTCCTCCTCCTACTCTTCCTCCTCCTACCTTCCTCCCTCCAGCAGCCCCAAGAAGAAACGTCTGCGCTCCATCTCGCCCCCCCCCCCCCCCAAAAGAAAAACGTCTGCGCTCCGTCTCGCCCCGTGCCCAGTGCAGGCGCCGACACCGCGGCGCCCTCCGGCCCCCACGAGGGCATGACGCCGCTGATGGCGGCGGCGGCGCGTGGGCGCGACGAGGCAGCAGCGGCACCTTCTGCTCCTGCTCCTCTTGCTCCTCCTTCTCTTTTCCCTCCTCCACCTCCTCCTCCTCCTTATCCTCTCCTCCTCCTCCTCCTCCTCCATCCTCATCCTCATCATCATCATCATCATCATCATCATCATCATCATCATCATCATCATCATCATCATCATCATCATCATCATCATCATCATCCTGCTCTTCCTCCTCCTCCGTCTACTCCTCCTCCTCCTCATCATCACCATCATCAGCAGCATCATCCTCATCATCATCATCATCATCATCATCATCATCATCATCATCATCATCATCATCATCATCATCATCATCATCCTCTCCGCCTCTTCCTCCTCCACCTCCTCCTCATCCTCCTCGTGGTCCTCCCCCCATTCATCATCTTTCTCCCGCCCTCCTGCTCCTCCTGCTCGTCCTCGTCGTTGACCTCGTCCTGCTGCAGCCGTTTATGACAGTCCCAGGGCCCGACAGCGGCTCCCCGAGGGCCGAAATCGAAGAGAAAAACGCCAGTCAAGAACGTCATATCGTCGGAAGTCTGGGGAGGCAAGGGAGACAATCGAGCGGGCGCCCAAGGGGTGCTGTCGAGTTTGAAGGAGTTCAGCGCCCTGACCCAAACAGCCGACTGACCCGTCTTCCAAGACGCTTTGCTGACACGGTTAGCGGCTTCAGCAAGGCATGTTGCAACGCAGGTTCCGCAAAGACATCAGAGAGCAAATCCCGCTTGTCATTCGGGCGCCACAGGTATTTTGTACGCATCTTGGGCACGCCCGAGGCAGCCTGAAGCAGGGGCGGCCGCTGCCGCGGCCGCGCCCCCTCCCCCTCCCCCTGGCGACCCGAGGCGGCGGCGCTGCTCCTCGAACAGCGCGCCAACCTGGAGTTGAGGGACCCGAGAGGCCGACGCGCCGACACCACGCAGCTGCGCAGCATCGGGCGACGAGATCTAGATGCGTATGTATTTACATAGATACATACACATATACATACACATGGTTCACAGATGCATCTCCAGTTTATGCGTGTACATGTATAGAGATATTACGGAGAAAGAAAGAACACTACCCCTGGCCAAGCCCATCTTGGGTTCGGGAGCAGTGAGAGTGCCTCTCTGGCCAAGCCAGAAGTCAAGCAGCGGTGAAGCATCCTGACGTTCGCATAGGCCTTCCAAATAATGTTCCAAGAACCTGCTGTGGTCTGCACAAGCTGTTCTTAAAACAGTTCTGACTGATGCAGTCTTGTTTAAATCAACCGGCTGTATGGTGTAGGATCATTACCAAAATTGTGTTTGCTCTTAGGGGTTCTTATTTCTTTTCAAATGAACTGAGCCTGCGGGCCTGTCTGGCGGCTCCGTGCTTCCCGCCGCCGCCGCCGCCGTCTCGTCGCCGCCCGTCGTCCGGGCCTGTTCCGTGCTCGCCGTCGCCGCCCCGTTGCCGCTTCGTCGCCGTCCGTCGTCTGAACCTGCGCGCCAGTCTGGCGGCTACGTGCTCGCCGTCGCCGCCCCGTCGCCGCCTAGACTCTCCTTTCTCAAAAACCATTGGAATCTACCACCCCCGCCCCCCCGGTCTGGGATAGTTTGATTTACATCTGGTTATGGCCCATCGTTCATTCTGAATATTAATTCATACCATCCAGAAAAGTGCCCTTATCGCCCCAACCCATCCCTGACAAATAGTACTATGCACGCGCACTCGATTATCAAATATCCTTCATTCGCGAGAATCCCCGGCAACAATTGGGACAATGTCCACACGCCCGCGGCGTCGCGCGCGCACGCCGGAATTCTTCAAAACCTCCAGGGCTCGTAAGGATTTTAAGATCGAGATTCCCGAAAATATTTGAAAGAATGGTTTCGCAGCACGGTTTCGGATCCTGACGTCAACCATAGGTCTTTCAACATGTCCACCAAATCCGACCAAGCTGGCCTCTCTTGCGCGCATCTCGGGATCATTGGAACGCCTTTGCGCGTCTGCTGGGGGGGCACGATCCCTGTTAAACAATACCATGCGGGTCACTCGCGCCCGAGGACCGCGCGCGCATGTCGAAATCTTTCCGAACACTTCGTCGCCGACACGTGGACACCATCATTGTCACCAGCGTGATCAGCATCGGCGCCCTCATTGTCTTCGCCGTCGGCATCGTCACCCTCGTCACCAGCATCGCTACTATCTCACCGTGTCTGCCGGTGTCGACGTCGCCATGAAGTGCCGGCGCGTCAGCGCGGCCTGCGAGACGCGTTGGGAAGTGCCCAGCGGTTAGCGTCACCGCGGCCGCATGGGTCGCGACAGCTGGCCGCTGTGCAGCGCACGAGCCTGCGCGCGACAGCGCGGCCGAAGCGATGTGCCAGCCAGCGCCACGCAGTCATCGCAATCGCTGCCGGATGGATTTTACAAACCAAGTTGCGGGCAGGTGGGTGGGATGATTGCGCGAGCAGTGGAGTTGACAATTTCAAGTTCGGCAGGGCGAGTTGCACCACATAGACTGAGCCACATATCTTGCTCCACATAGATCGCACAACATAGACTGCTAGAAGCACATCGCTTGGGGGGCACAACAGCTAACATTGGTTCTGAGAGAAATTCGTGGTAGGACCATAGGGATACCGGGACGGTCGGCCCCCGTTCAAAATATTTGGACGCCCGACATGGGTACCGAAAGAATGGGTACGATGCCCAACAGCAGTTCCTGTTCATTTTGAACAGGACTCGCTGTCCGCGCCGCCGCGGCCTGTGTCAATTCGAGACAGGAGGCCGCCCGCCCAACAGCGGCCGCTGTTGGTTCGGGACAACATTTGTTGTTGGGCATGTTGCCCATTCTTTCGGTACCCATTTCGGGTGTCCAAAAAATAGGGCGTATGCACCTCTCCTGGTCCCAGGATGGGCCTGGCCAGCGGCACCAGCCATAGCCTCCGACGATCTGACTTCGTTCAGTGCTTCGGCGGCGCGCCCGGGGGGAGCCTCGACGTTGTCTGGTCTCTTCGTCGGTTCCCGCAGGCCTTCCGGCCTCGGGGTGCTCCAGCAGCAGCTGCGCCGAGGGCGTTCCCGGGGGTGCCCGGATCGCCCCTTCACGGCCGCCGGAGGCCCGAGCTATGACCCGAAGGTGGGGCTGGGCGGCACGCCCAGGGAGGGAGGCAGAGTTGGGGCGGGCCTGCTCAGACGGCCGAGAAGGCGCCCCGCCTTCCGAGGAGTTTTCCGAGCACTCTCCCAAGACAGAGACGGCTCCTCTCTCAGAAGGCCCCCGCCGCTTCGGAAGCTTCTGAGAAGGCCTGCCCCCTCTCACCTCCCCTCTCGGCGCGCCGCTGAATGCCAGCGAGTTTCTTCGATTTCGGCCTTCGGGCGTGGCGAAAAGATACCCCTGGGGCCACGCATCAAGAACACAGTCACGTGGTTGGATTCCTGGGCACCCCCTCTCGAGAAAGAAGGCCCCCGGAAACGAGGACACTGGAGGCCCCCCGAGGCCCATGAGATGTGGCCCAGCAGCATCAAGCAAAGAACCGTCCATCAGGCCGCTTCACAGCTTTGCGCCCTCAACGGGTGCAGAGGATACTAGTCTGCTCATGTCGTCTCTACTACGGAGACCTCAGCAGTTGGACAGCGGACCGGCAATTTCTGTCACGCACCTGCGTGCCAAGGGCAAGCTGTCTGACCAGAGGCCGCTCCGAGCTGCCCCCCGAATCCCTCCTGGGGTCCATCCCAGCGGCCAAACAGGGCCCCCAGACGAAAACGGCGGATGACCCTCGAGGCCTCCCCCTCCTCCTCCACCTCCTCCTCTTCCTCCTCCTCCTCCTCCTCCTCCTCCTCCTCCTCCTCCTCCTCTTCCTCCGCCAAACCTGGCCCCCAGACGGAAACGGCTGAAGACCCTCGAGTCCTCGAAGTCCCGCTGAAACTTGGCCGCGACCCCCAGCGGCAGAGGTTGCTCCGCCTCTCGGAAGTCTGGAGGCCTTGGCCGCGGCACCCAGGAAGGCCTCGAGCCTCACACACACGCTTTCACTTCGCGGCCGGCTGGTCTAACTCGGCGAGGGCGTTAGCGGGCTGCGTTAGGATAATCACCACCGAACGTACTATGGTGATCGGGGGGGCAACCGTCAGACGGTGGTGTTTGCAGAACAGCGCGTGCACGACGGACAGGCGCATGCCGATGGAAGCAACCGAAAGGCTGCCACACACACACACAACACACAACACACAACACACAACACACGACACACGACACAACACACAGCACACAATACACAACACACAGCACACAACACACAACACACAACACACAACACACAACACACAACACACAACACACAACACACAACACAGCACAGCACAGCACAGCACAGCACAACACAACGCAACACAACACAACACAACACAACACAACACAACACAGCACAGCACAGCACAGCACAGCACAGCACAACACAACACAACACAACACAAGACAAGACAAGACAAGACAACACAACACAACACAACACACACACAACACACACTGTTGAGCGTTCGCGGGCCGTGCCGAGCGCCAGACCGAGGTCTGCGGGTCCGCGCGCGCCAGCTTCGCAAGAAAGAGTGGCAAGGAACTCGCGCGATGGACCAATGGCCAAAGCCAGCCAAAATTGGGACGACAAGGGGACACACGCACACACGCACACACACACACACACACACACACACACGCACATACACACACACACACACGCACATACACATACACACCCACACACATATACACACACACGCACACGCACCGTCGAGGTGTTCTGACAGCGTCGGCCCCGGGAGGTTCAGACCCCCCTCCCCGGGGCCAGCTCTCCATCCCAGCGCGAGGAGGCGCCAGCAGCGTCGAAGCCCCACAGACCCGCAGCCTGCCATGCCACCGGAGATCCGCCGAGCTGATGTGCTCCATCTGCGACCCTCGAAGTCCCCAGACATCTGGCGTGTCGGAAAAAGCGAAGGACGGAGGCTCTTCATCGTCTTCGGCCTCTCTCAGGGCCCTCCAAGGGCCTCGGGACCGTGACAAAATCGACTCGGGATCCAGCCGGTCCCGGGGGAGTTATCCAGAGGTCGAGGGCCCGTGAGTCACAAAATCGAGACGTTGGATGTCTAGGTCCCGACCGCTTCTCTGGGGGTAGTGTTTCGTCCCAGATCCATGTTTGATTGTCCCAGGGGTCCCGAAAGCGGCCCCCGAGGGCCGAAATCAAAGAAAAAAGCAGCGGTTGGAATGCTCAGATCCCTGAGATCCGACGACGTGAAAAAAGTGCAACCTCGTAGAAATCACGACCAGAGCCCCAGATCCTATCTTCCTACAACATCTTTCGCGCCATGTCGACTTGTCAGGGTCCCGGGGCCCGAAATGCTGCGGAAACGCCCTGCTCGAAAAAATGGCCGCCACCATCCTTGTCCTCGTCGTCCTCGTCCTCGTCGTCCTCGTCGTCCTCGTCGTCGTCGCCGCTGTCGTCGTCGTCGTCGTCGGCACCATCGGTGGCGGAGGCTGGTCCGCGGTGATGCACGCGGTGGCTGGCCAGCGGCCCGCCGCGCTGCGGCTGCTGCTGGGGGCCCGCGCCGCAGTCGCCGGCGGCGGCCACGCCGACGCGGAGACGGGGGCGACGCCGCTGATGCTGGCCGCAGGCGGCCTCGCGGGGGAGGAGGGCCTCGGGCGTCAGTGAGGCAGTGCAGTCGGACCGAGGCGTAAGATCGAGGTCGGTTCGGGGAGTCGTGCTTGTGGGATGCTCCTCGCGCATCCTGGGGAGGGTTCCCTCGAACGTTCTGTGCGTTGTGGCCGGCGGAGGGTCTCATGTTCTTGCAGGATGTTATTCTGGCACGGGTCCAACTGTAAGTCGCGGAAGTGTCCGCTCGTCTTGAATTGAATGTATCGGCCAAAAGCCCCCCCAATATCATGCAGTAGCGTCCACAGCGCCAACTAGCGCCGAACAGCGCTCAAAAGCCCCCGCTAGCGCCCAAACTGCTCAATAGCGCCCAAGGGCGCCATGAGATGCCTTATGTCCGCTCTGCGCGCTGTTGCACGCGCTGGTGCCGATCCAAGAAATCCGCGCGGCCCTGCAGCCCTCCGAAAGTTGCTGGTGCTGCCGAATTTTACTCTCAGGGGCAACGTCAGAGGGGGGAATGGCTCAGGAGCGGATGCATCGAGCCCCAACCGCCCACTCGTCGCCGATAGGGGCCCCGATAGCCCACCCTGCCCAGGAACGTCCGGGTTTGCTATCGGGGGCACATCGCCGATGTATCGCCGATTCCAGCTCGAGGCTTCCCCTCTTGAGCCGCCCTCCCCCTGACGCTCCCTCTCCCCTTCTTCCTGGAAGATCCCTGGGACCCGGAACCCCGACGTCGAACGTAGACAGCCCAAGAGGTCCCGACCCATTCCCCAGGACCGGCTGTGCATCCTGAGTCGTGGCTTGTCGGCCCCGAGGCCTGGTGCGGGCCTCAGAGTCCGAAAATGACGAAAAGCCTCCCGTCGTGATTTCTTCATGACTCCAGGGGGTCCGGAGGCCTGGGCTGCGCGCTCCCGCTGGGCGCCTTCTGCCCTTCTCGCGCCGCTGGCTCGCCTGCTTCGGGATCGGGCCAGCTCGGTCGGCTGCTGCGCCGCTAGCGCCCTGGAGTGCTGCCCTCGGCTGGCAGCGGTTGTTTGGTCGGTGCTCCATCCTGGCGTCGCCGTGGACCGGAGGAGGAAAAGGCACAGATGCCGCTACCCTTCCCTCATTCTCCACTGTCTGGGCCTCCTGGGAGGCCCTCGTCGCCACCGCTGGATCCCCTCCGAAATGCTGGTCAGAACGCACCCCAGGAGAGGTCCCCGGGAGGAGCGGCATCGGTACCCCGTGGCCTCCCCCGTGGACGTCTCGCGTGGGCGGCCAGGAGCCCCCGAGGTCTGCGCGCCGCACTGCTGCTCACGCCGGGCGTCTTCGCCCGGCCTCGGGCCCCCGGGCCCTCGCAGTTGGGCCCCGTGCGGGGAGCGCCGCAGGGCCGAAGCAGGTCGGCGGCGGGCCCAGGGTGCCGAGGGCAGAGGGGGCGGGCCTTGTCCTCGGGAGGCTCGGGAGGCCTCACCTCTCCTTCTGAGACGTTGCTGCATCCTTCTCCGACGACGGACGGCTGCTCAGCAGGCTGGAGGACCTCTGTGGAGCCCCGCCGTCGCCTGAGAAGGCCTGCTCCCTCTTACTTCCGCGCCCCGGGCGCGCCCCCGATCGGGGGCTCCGCTGGTCGTGCCCTCTTTGGCGATACTGTCTTTGGTCGCGGCGCTGGGTCTTCTCAAGAGGTTGCGAGGAGGGGATCGACTGCTGAATTGCTGAGCCCCAAGAGTGATTTCCTCGACGAATCTACAATTGAAAGACGTCGCATGTTCCATGGAGGCGACAAAACAACAAGTTTGGGGTAAATCAATTATGTAGTCGATCACCTACTCAAATATTGGGGGGGGGCAAGGCTCTCCGGCGCGTCGCTGGAAGGATCATTACGGAGGGTTTCTGCCTATTTTCGGTTTCCTCCGACCCCGAGATCCTACGTCGCGAAAAAATATTGGCATCGCTCGGACGTGTGCATGCTTTCTCGGCGAGGAGCCTCTCTGATCAACGAAACAACAAAGCATGCACGAAACCGAAAGATGCACGGGGAATGGACACCCGAGCGATGGCAAGAAATACAAGATGCCGAAAATCACAACCACAGCCCCAGATCCCATTTGAATCCCTCCGACAGGATCGACCCGCGAGTGCCCTCGGGCCCGAATCCGGGCGAGACCGTCATGCGTGGAAAAACGCGACGCCAGGATCTCAAGGGAAGGCTTTCCTGGGCCCCAGGGCCGTCAAATGTGCCCGGCACAAGAAGAGCTGACCTTGGGGAAGGGGCCCAGACTTCTGGGGGGCCGTCTGGTCGCGCAGAAGTCACGAAACCAGGCGCGGAGCATCACGTTGCATCTGCGAAGTGTCTTGTTGGAGAAAGGCGCGTGGAGACGGTAGCGCTTTTGGGCGTTACGCGGGGTTGGGGAGGGGGGCCGGGGGCTGGTAATGTCGCGTTTTCTCGGGGTGGAGGGGGCGGGGGGCCAGTAACGTCCCGTTTCGCGCCGGCGTTTTCTGGGAATGTCTTTGGAATCACCAGAGCCAACTCCGAGGTCAGCGCGAATCGTGACGTTACCTGGGGGGATGGGAGGGGGACGGCCGGGGCCGGTAACGGTCGCTATGGCGAAAGATTAAAAGGCTCTCCAAGCGACGGGTCCCGCTTCCGCAAAGAATCGGCGCGCTCCGTGGCCAACTCGGCGGCACTGGCCTCATGCTTCTGGGAGCGCTCTCCCCGATCCGTGGATCTGGTGCCCACGTGCCAGATCCCACGAAAGCTTAGTCCATGTCTGCGTGTGCCCGACGTGTCTGTTTTGTACTTTATAACTGCTCTGGCATCCGACACAAATTCGATATGGATTCGACTTGGATTCGAGGCGGATTTGACGTGGACTCGACGAGGCAACCGGAGGAGTCCGAGTCACCTTGACTTGGCAGCGGACGCTTTGGGGGAGGTGGGCACGTGAAGGGTCGGGGGGGCGATGCTGAACGGAGTTCGAGGAGGAGCATCGGGGGGGAAGACGAGGAGGAGGAGGCGGAGGAGGAGGCGGAGGAGGAGGATGTAGGAGGAGGAGGAGGAGGAGGATGTAGGAGGAGATCGAGGAGGAGGAGGAGGATGTAGGAGGATCGAGGAGGAGGAGGAGGAGGAGGAGGAGGAGGAGGAGGAGGAGGAGGGGGAGGGGGAGGGGGAGGTGGATTGAGGAGACGAGTTCGAGGACGAGGAGGAGGAGGAGCAGCAGGAGGAGGAGGAGGGTCGAGGAGTTCGAGGAGGAGGAGGAGGAGGAGGAGGAGGAGGATCGAGGAGGATCGAGGACCGAGGTTTGAAGGAGGTCTGAGGTTTCTTTGGGCATCCTAGAGTGCCCTCATCTTCATGGCTGGATCCGCCTTCTTGGTCAGAGCGCACCACAGGACAGGTTCTGGGTTCAGTGCTTGAGGGGATGAGGGCGGAGTAGGAGGGAAGGGGATCCCCACTGTTGTGGATCACATCTGAGGGCTCTCCCTTTTCTGGACCACTCCTGAATCCCCCCATCTGTGGATCACCCATGCTTGATAACACCCTCTGCGAATCACTTCCCATATGGACACCCCCTTCTGGAACATCCGTTCTGGGCCGTGCAGGCTCCTCCTCCTGCACGCTCGTCGTCTTCCTCATCCTCCTCATCATCCACCTCCTCATCAGCAGCATTAGCATCAGCATCAACATCATGGGCATCATCAGCATCATCATCATCAGCAGCAGCATCATCATCGTCATCGTCGTCATCGTCATCGTCATCATCGTCATCATCAACACCATCATCATCATCATCACCACCACCATCATCATCATCAGCATCATCATCATTGTCAGTATCATCAGCATCATCATCACCATCATCATAATCACCATCATCGTCACCATCAGCATCATCATCATCGTCATCATCACCACCATCACCATCAGCATCATCAGCACCACCATCCTCATCAGCATCATCATCATCATCATCATCATCAACCCTGGAGGTTCTGGCCGCTTTCCAGAAGTAGTTTTTCGTCCCGGATCATTGTTTGACGGTCGTGGGGGCCGAAAGCGGCCCCCGAGGGCCGAAATCGAGGAGAAACGCTCGGAGTCAAAAAATCACATTGTCGGAGAGTTAGGGAGGGGTCCCCGCGGAGGTTTCCAGAGGTCTCTAGAGTCGCCGAAGCCATGGGAAGCCCCTGGATGCCCATGCAAGGGGCGCCAAGAGCGCCCCCAACAGCCTCGGTTTTCGGGAGGAAAAGGAGGAGGAGGAGGAGGAAGAAGAAGAAGAAAAAGGATCGGAATGTAGTGGAGGAGGAGGAGGAGGAGGAGGAGAAGGAGGAGAGAAGGAAGAGGATACTTAGGAATGTGCAGAGGAGGAGGAGGAAGAAGAAGAAGAAGAAGAAGGAACAGGATAGGAATGTTGTTGAGGAGGAGGAGGAGGAGGAAGAGGAGGAGGAGGAGGAGGAGGAGGAGGAGGAGGAGGAGGGCCGTTGCCCGACCTGGGGGCGGTGACGCCCCGCCCGGCCCTCGACACAGGGGCGGGGGGTCCTGCAGCGGGCGACAGGCTAAGCGCGGCGCCCGGCCGCGCGGTGGAGGCCAGGGCGCCCGCGGCCAGCCGCAGGAACGCCGGCAGCATCGGAGCCATCGGCGTCAAGCTCAACAGGTGCTACGCGAGCGCCTCGGGCCCACGTCGGGCCCGTGCCACTGCGCGCCGCGGCGTGCGGAACAGGCTATTCAATGAAGAAAGCTGGAAGGTCAGACCTCACGACCTGTCCCACATCGCGGCAGCCATGGATTTCAAAGGCCGCGAGCCGTGCTAGCCATTCGCCGAAAAGCAGTTCGGCAACCCGAATCGCGTCACCAACCACAGGTACATCGTCATAGAGGTCCCCGCCACGGCCGGGCCACCTGGCTATTCGTCCACAGACGCCAGCGCCAGCCACGGCACGAACGAGGCTTGCCTGTTGCCGCCCTCCCAGCGTGTGATGGCGCCTACTACGCCACGACCCCCCACGACCACCTACCCCACGACCGTCTGCCCCACGACCCCCGCGACGACCCCCTCGACCCCGCGCCCTACCCGACCGCCCCTACGAACCCCCCACCCAACGGCTCCCACGACGGCCACGCCCCACCCGCATGCCCTGACAGGGAGCCTGCGGGGGGGGGGCATACCCATGGAAGCGGCCATAGTCGCCGCTGGCCAGGCCAAAGCTGGCGCCGCCTGTCCCGCGGCGGGCTCGGCATCCCGAGTGGCCGCATGCCTTGAGAGGGAGCCTGCGAGGGCATACCCGGGGAAGCGGCCATAGGAACAGTTGAAGCCCCCCCCCGGAGGCCCCCCGCGCGACCCACCACCACGACGGCCCCCACGACCCACCACCACGACGGCCTTCCACGACGTCCCCCGCGTACGCGTGCCCCCACCCACCCACCCGACGACCCCCGCGACGGCCCCACGACGACCCCCACGACGGCCCCCACGCCCCCCCATCCGACGACCGCGGCGACGGCCGTGCCCCGAGTGGTCGCATGCCCTGAGAGGGAGTCCGCGGGGGGCACACCCTGGGAAGCGGCCATGGAGGCGGCCAGTCAGCCCGCAGCCTGCGCCGTTGGCCCCTTGGCAGGACCCCGAGTGGCCGCATGCCTGAGAGGGGGCCCGCAAAGGGCATGCCTGGGGAAGCGGTCATAGGGACAGCCGAGCACCCCCAAGACACCCCCAACGACGACCCCCGTGACGGACCCCCACGGCGGATCCCACGACGACTCCCCGTCCTCCTCCTCCTCCCCGCCGTCTCTCTCTTCGCGAGGCGAGCCAATGTCGCCTGCCCCGCGACCCCTCCCTGCCCCGCGACCCCCTGCCCTACGAACCCCGCGACCCCCTGCCCTGCCAGACGGCCCCCGCGACCCCCCGCCCAAAGTTCCCCGCAACGGCAGCGACCCGAATGGCCGCGCGACCTGCGAGGGAGCCTGTGGGGGGCATGCCCAGGGAAGCCGCCATAGAGGCCGCTGGCAGGCCCAGGCTTGGCTCCGACTGCCCATCGACGGGTTCCAAATCCCGAATGGTTCCATGCCTTGAGAGGGGGCCCGCGGAGGGCATACCCGGAGAGGAAGCGGTCATCGCCAGCGACGTTCATTGGGATCCCCCACCCGACCCGCGCGACGGCCCCGCGACCTTTTTATCAACCCGAACTCCCCCGCGACCCACCACGACGACGAACCTTACGACGGCCACTGCGCGACGGCCCCCCACGACTGCCCCGACGACGGCCCCCGCGACGAACTCTGCGACGCCCTCCGTCGGCCAATTACGCGGGCAGCGCTTTCCTCACGGGCTGCTGGGCGGATGACGGGACAACCAAACTGACGACCCCCTGCCCCGCGACCCCGCGACGGCCTCCCACGGCGACGGCGATCCCTGCGTCTCGTCAGGGGAGACAAGCCCCGAGGAGGACGAGGCTGCCACTTCAGGGGGCGCCGACACGTCGAACCCACTCCTCGCCGCTTGGCGGCAGAGGCGGCGGCAGTTCTACTGGAGATGACCATCTCCCCCCCCCACCTCGCTACAGGCTGCGCCAAGACTCCCGACGCCCCCCAGCACCGCCCCTTCTCCCCCCGCGGCCCCAATTCAAGGGAGGAAACACCACCCGGACCGGACAGTTGGCGTTTGCTAAACGGCCTTGGGCGTTTACTAAGCAGCCCTGCCTTGTTTGATTCCTCCCTTGGGCGCGTTTACTAAACGGGCTCGCGTGTCGGGGTGGTCATCATCGGGGTGGATTTTCTGCCCTCTACCAATGAAGGCCACCGCGACCACCCTGCCCTGACCGACGGCCCCGACGAGGGGGGCGGTGAGCCGCCACTTTTGTAAATCAATGGCCGGAGGCGCGGGTGCCGCGAGCCACCTCGCCCAGCCTTCCCCTCGCCTCGTTTCTTCCCCCTCTCATCCCCCCCTTGCATGGCCCACCGCGCGTGGAAGCACCGTCTCGCCCGCCCACCGTCGTGGGCCCTGCAACGCAGGGTCGGTGCGAAACCCAGAAAGAACCACGAAGAGCACCGAAACGGCACCGGGGTTGGGGGCGAACCGCCAAACCCCAGTGCCTTTGGAGGGCCCAGGCCGCGCACGGCCGCCAGCCTGGAACCTCCCTCACCGCCCGCGTGTCAGCGCCGCAGACGGCGGTTCCAAGGAACCGCGATTCCAGCACACCAGCCACACGCCAGCCCCGTTTTCGCGGCCGCCGCCGAGAAAGGGGGGGGGGATACAGGAGGACCCAGGCACACGGAGGAGGAGGTGTGCCGTTACCTCACTTTTCAATCATTCCCCTCCCCAGGGAGTTGTGGGGGTTCTCTGGGGCTTGGGCGGCCCCTCCTCGCCCCCCTCTCCCGCGTCTCCTTTTGTTCCCCTCTTGTCCTCGTCTCCCTCGCCTTCGGCAAACCCCTTTTGACCACGAGCCAAGCCGCGTGCCGCAGCATGCCACTGCAAGGCACACTAGTTCGATCACCCCCCCAGGGCACCAGTCCGGAGGGGGGGGAGAGGGCCGCGCTCGACGAGTTCTGAGGCCCTCGGGGTTCAAGAATCAGGAGGAGGAGGAGGAGGAGGAGGAGAAAAAGGAGGAGGAGGGGGAGCTTTTCTCCCTCGAGCGCAGGTGGGGCTCGCGCGGAGCTGTGCGCGATGCTCCTGAAGAGTGGGCACGCGCCGTCCATGCTGGCCCCGATCGCCCCGCCGGGGTGGGACTTGCCGGGTTTTTCTGTCAACTTTTTGCGGCCCCGTGTTGTCCACAGACCCTCATCGTCTTCCGCCCAGCGGAGGAGGAGGAGGAGAAGGAGGAGGAGGAGGAGGACCGAACAGCAAACGACATGCATACGGTTGAAACAAACAAGTTTGCACCAATTGGCCGGCACGACAATTGATGATACAACCCCCAGCCCCCGACCTTAACATTGAGAGCGGACGCGCACACTGAAATATAATGTATATTTATTTGTTTGAACGGCCCCTGCAGATGTCGCAACTTTCAATATTAAAGTCGAGGGCGCAGGGGCAACAGCAGTGCCATCCGATTCGCAGCTCAAGCCGAAGTGGTGCAAACATTTTCTTTCAATCGTATAACTGTCTGGAGCTCCGCGTGGACCTCCGTACAGCTTGTGGTGATACCGTTTGTTGTTCCTTGTATTCTGGTGGAAGAGAAGGAGGAGGAAGGAGGAGGAGGAGGAGATGGGCGGATGGTGGATGGGGCCTTACGGAGAGGAGTCATCACAGATGGGCAGGCGAAGTTCGTTCGTTCAGGTTTGACCTCGCTCGTCACCCCGCTCTTTCTCATCAACGCGAAGATCTACAAATTACCGATCGGATCCCAGCCAGTCAGTAATCTGCGAAACCACTGGGGTTGTCAGCGTGCTCGTCCCTGCTGCCAGCTTGCCATTTTACCCCTCGCTCTGTCATGCTATGTGGTGTTCGATGTATCGATTTGTCCGCCATGGCCGATCGATAGGGGCGGCTACAGCACAACAGTTCGGTTCGGCAAACACTGGCCCGATACGTGTTGAGGGTTACATCGTATCAGCCGCCACTTGGTGTTCCCTTTCTCTCCTCATCTCTAACGTTTCCCCCCCCCCGCGCGCTTGCGCCTGCGTGGGAAGCACAGGCCGTCCAGACCGTTACGGCGCGTGCCTAGCGGAGCTCTGCCCCAGGGCATACGGTTGTCAAGAATGCATGCGCCCAGAATGCAGCAACAACAACAACAGCAACAACCACAACAACTACCACCACCACAACAACAGTCACAACAACAACACCAACAACGACACCAGCAGCAACAACAGCCACAACAACAACAACCACAACAACCACACCAATCGTTTGAATGTTGTTCTCTCTTATTGGCCTCGTGCCTTTAATCTTGTACACCCCCAACCATCGATACCCGCCCACTTCGTCTTCGATCGAATCCCCTCGGGGGGAAACAATTTTCCTTTTCGGCCACTGAGTGGAGCGCGAGGAAAACTCAAGCGAGAGCGCCGTTCCTAAGTTCGGGGGCCTCTCTAGCCAGGGCCTCTCGGAGTAAACCGTGAGGAAGAAGCATCGAGCAGGAGCCCTTGTCATCGTGCCTGGGCCTCCGCCAACTCGATTGACTTGCGAAGATGCCTCCAGCGAGAGCGCCGTTCCTGAGTTCGAGGGTCTTTCTGGCCAGAGCTTCTCGAGTAATTCGTGTGGCAGCATCGAGCGGGAATCCTTGTCGCCGTAGTTGGGCCTCCACCAGCTTGGGTGGATTACGATGAAGTCTCGAGCGAGACCGCCGTTCCAGAGTTCAGGGGCCTTCCTGGCCAGGGGCTCTCGGAGTAAATCGTGAGGAGGTATCGAGCGGGTGCCCTTGTCATCGCAAAAGGTTCTCCAACATTTCGATTGAATGTTGAGGAAGTCTCGAGCGAGAGCGCCGTTCCTGAGTTCGGGGGCCTTCCTGTCCAGGGGTTCTCGGAGTAATTCGTGGGGAAGTATCGTCGTGGCTGGGCCTCCGCCAACTCGATAAAAGTATGAGGAAGTCTCGAGCGAGAGCGCGGTTCCTGAATTCGGGGGCCTCTTCGGCCATGGTGTATTAGGGTAAATTGTGATGAAATGTCGAACGTGTGCCGTTGTCGTCGCAGCAGGGCCTCCAAGGGCATGCATTTACAATCAAGCCCGCGCTCGAGCGGGAGCCTCGTTTTCAAAGGAATTGCAGCCGGCGTCGAGGCGACAGCGCGCAGCACCGTTTCCAGAGAGCCGCAATAATTATTCTTGAGAAATGAGTATCCATCAACAACAACAAACAACAACAGTAATAGCAACAACCACAACAACAGCAGCAACAGCAGCCGCAGTAGCAGCAACAACAACTACAACTACAAGTATCAACACAACAACAACGAAAACCACAACAACAACAACAACAACAACAACAACAGCCATGTTAAAACTGTTCGCTCTCAAACTCGTACCCGCAGTGGGGTAGATCTTCCTTACCTGCAACGTGTATGTCATGCAGTCCCTACGGCAGGGGACGGGAAGACGGATGGAAGAAAGGGACAAGGGGGAAGAAGGAGGATCGAGCATGAGAGAAAGAGAGTAGCAGGAGGGGTGCTAGGAGCAGAAAACACGTGGCACAACCAGACGGGCAGATCGGGCGGGTAGACCCTGACAGGCGGGTCGGGACGGCGGGCCCAAGCGGCCAGGTCGACCAGGCGGGCTGCTGAAGCGTGCGTCCTGCATGAATCGCAAGTCTTGAGCGATAGCGCGATTCCCAAGTAAATCGTGAGAAAGGCCAAAGCGAGAGCGTGATTCCTGAGTGTCGAGGGCGCGGCGTTTCAATAAACCGCGAAGAAGTCCCACGCAAGAGCGCGATTCCTGCATAAATTATAAGGAAATCCCGCGCGAGAGCGCGAGTTGGGAATACACTGCAGAAGTATCAGGCGGGAACCGTTGTTGTTTTACCTCGGGAGCCAGTGGGAGCGAAGACGCCCCCTGATAAAAAAACAGGGTGCGGGACCAGGGAAGGGCATTTCAATGGAAAAATACAACGAGCCCCGGAAAAGGGGCAGACAACTATATCTATTTCTCAGTCATGAGAGAACAACAGCAATTATTCACTGCGTGGGGATCCCCATATGTGCATCTCCTTGCTGGCGCTCCCTTGGTGGTGGGACTCGGTGAGGACGAATCTGGATTTAAGTGTGACTGAGCTGCCTCTCTCTCTGCTCTCTCTGCTCTCTCTGTCTCTCTCTCTCTCTCTGCCCTCTCTCTGTCTCTGCCTCTCTTTCCCTGCCTCTCTCTCTCTCTCTCTCTGCCTCTGTCTCTCTGCCTCTCTCTCTCTCTCTGCCTCTCTCTCTGTGCCTCTCTCTCTCTGCCTCTATCTCTGCCTCTCTCTCTCTCTCTCTCTCTCTCTCTCTTCTCTCTATTCTCTCTCTGCTCTCTCCTCTCTCTCTCACTCTCCCTCTCTCTCTCTCTCGCTCTCTCTCTTCTCTTCTCTTCTCTTCTCTTCTCTCTCTCTCTATCTCTCTCTCTCTCTCTTCTCTCTCTATCTCTCTCTCTCTCTCTCTCTCTCTCTCTCTTCTCTCTCGCGCTCTCTCGCTCTCTCTTGCTCTCTCTCGCTCTCTGTCGCTCTCTCTCGCTCTCTCTCTCTCTCTCTCTCTCTCTCTCTCTCTCTCTCTCTCTCTCGCTCGCTCTCTCTCGCTCTCTCTCTCTCTCTCGCTCTCGCTCTCTCTCTCTCTCTCTCTCTCTCTCTCTCTCTCTCTCTCTCTCTCTCTCTCTCTCTCTCTCTCTCTCTCTCTCTCTCTCTCTCTCTCTCTCTCTCTCTCTCTCTCTCTCTCTCTCTATCTCTCTCTCTCTCTCTCTCTCTCTCTTCTCTCTTCTCTCTCTCTCTCTCTCTCTCTTCTCTCTTTCTCTCGCCTGTCTCCTCTCTCAACTCCCCCTCTCTCTCTCTCTCTCTCGCTCTCTCTCTCTCTCTCTCTCTCTCTCTCTCTCTCTCTCGCTTCCTCTCTCTCTCTCTCTCTCTCTCTCTCTCTCTCTCTCTCTCTCTCTCTCTCTCTCTCTCGTCACGGGCTCGTGAGATCAGCCAGGGTGGCTCCCCCTTGGGGCTCCCAAATGATGCCCCTGGCAGCGTTTTGTGACCATGAGGCTCTCAAGAGATACATGTTGGGGAGGCCAAACGGCAATTCTAGCTGAGGCGTCCCACCAAAATCGGCGCGAACGGGCTCGTGAGATCAGCCAGGGTGGCTCCCCCTTGGGGCTCCCAAATGATGCCCCTGGCAGCGTTTTGTGACCATGAGGCTCTCAAGAGATACATGTTGGGGGCGCCAAACGGCAATTCTAGCTGAGACGTCCCACCAAAATCGGCGCGAACGGGCTCGTGAGATCAGCCAGGGTGGCTCCCCCTTGGGGCTCCCAAATGATGCCCCTGGCAGCGTTTTGTGACCATGAGGCTCTCAAGAGATACATGTTGGGGAGGCCAAACGGCAATTTAGCTGAGACGTCCCACCAAAATCGGCGCGAACGGGCTCGTGAGATCAGCCAGGGTGGCTCCCCCTTGGGGCTCCCAAATGATGCCCCTGGCAGCGTTTTGTGACCATGAGGCTCTCAAGAGATACATGTTGGGGGCGCCAAACGGCAATTCTAGCTGAGACGTCCCACCAAAATCGGCGCGAACGGGCTCGTGAGATCAGCCAGGGTGGCTCCCCCTTGGGGCTCCCAAATGATGCCCCTGGCAGCGTTTTGTGACCATGAGGCTCTCAAGAGATACATGTTGGGGGCGCCAAACGGCAATTCTAGCTGAGACGTCCCACCAAAATCGGCGCGAACGGGCTCGTGAGATCAGCCAGGGTGGCTCCCCCTTGGGGCTCCCAAATGATGCCCCTGGCAGCGTTTTGTGATCATGAGAGAGTGTGAGTGTGAGCTTAACTTATCTTATCTTATCTTGAAATCTCTTCTTATCATATCTTGTGCTATCTTATCTTATCTTGTAGTATCTTATCTTGTCTTGTCTTATCTGGTGATTATCATTGGGAGGAGGGAGGCGCGAGCGGGAGGAAGAAGGAGGAGGAGGAGTGGGAGGCGTCAGAGTAATAACAAGAACCCCAATCCTTAGGATATGGGGAATAACAACAGCAACAACAACAATCAGTTTAATTTCGTTCGCTCTTATTTGCTCGAGCGTCATTCAACGCGTACTTCCTAAGCCC